ATGTATGGATCACTTGGGTTGTTACCGACATCTGGTGAAAATTTCATGTCATTAGCACCTCTAGTAATATATTTACTGAGAAAAATGGTGACGTGTAAAATACTTATTTTACCCGCTGAATATATCCTGAAAGTTTCTAGACACCTCTGGCCAGACTATCATTTCAGAAAGTATTGACTGCATCTAAAACTGATTAACTCTAAGAACATGTGTCAAACTCAAGGCCCATGGGCCAAATCTGGCTGTCATTACTGTGTTATCTGGCCCCAAAGGTAAAACTTCAAATGTAAAAGAGTTTTATGGGAGGTTTTTTAATTTTTTTGTCTCTGTTGTGTATTTTTTTTCATGACACCTCATCAAGCTCAAGCTAAGAAAATTAAGTTAGAATTTATTTATTTATTTTTAGTAATCTTTGATTTTAGTGTGAAAAGATCAACAGAGAATTGACTAAATATTTTAGGCACATAGTTAAATTCTAAACTACAGTGAATTAATTAGCTTCGGTTGTTATGAAAATGCTGTATAACAAAAATAAATTTGACTTTGCATCATAGCCTATACAAACACTTTGAAACCAGCCTCGGTCTCTTTACCTCCTACCATTTCTGACACTCCCACTTCAGCAGTCTTTACAACAATGCTTCAGAGGAGGGATGCTCTGTGGGGCTGGAGCTCAGCTACAGACTGAGCTATAGGAAGGAGCTTTTCTGTAAATGGGAGGTGCTTTGTACCAGCAAGCATTTAGCTCCACGTGACTACCAGAGGAGAATCAAGGATTTTTCAAACATGCATGAATGAGTCAAAACAGCACTCTGGTTATGTTTTTGATGAGGGAATGACATTAYAACATGATATAATGCTTTAAAAAGTTGATTTTGCACAATACCCCACCCGCTTTAAATTTAGTCAAATAGACAAATAGCAAGCTAATGTTGGTGTGTTAGTCTGAGAGTCATCCCCACCACACATTGAGAGGAATATCTTTCTTTGTCTCCATATTAGCAAAAATATCTCATGAATGGATTTTAACTAAACTTTCAGAAAGTCTAATTTGCTAATTTTGAAGTTACTTCAATTTACGCTGCCCGCTAAAAAAAGGGACTGAAACATTCACTCAATGCTGCCTGTTTGGTAGTAGTTGACAACACCCCACAGACACACCGCGAGCGCAGTTGTCGCGAGAAATCGCGTTAGTTTGGACTTAAACGGGTGAACCTCCAGATATTTATCCAAAGAAGGTGATTTTTTTACTTGAACACGGGCGTTGTAAGGTCGGCAGGCGATAAGCATCCCTGTCGGAACTGCTGGGCCTTTAATTCGATGTGTTCTCTGGACTCTCCGCCTCTTTAGTCTGCCCTGCACCCCACAGCTTCTGGTTCCTGAGTGCGCAGAGCTCCGCGGGTTGGTCCGTCGGGTCTCCAGCAGCTCCTCTCTGGTCTCCGCACCGCTCGGACATGTAGCTCCTTGTTCTGCTGCGACTTCAAAAACTTCCAAAGAATGGACCTGAAATCCGAACTCCTCAAGTCCATCTGGTACGCTTTCACGTCGCTGGACGTGGAGAGGTGCGGGAAAGTGTCCAAGTCTCAGTTGAAGGTAAGCAGCCAGGGAACGTGGGAACTTATTTAGACTCATAAGTGTTTTTTTTTTCCACCCAGAAGTTCTGGTTTTGTGGTTTGGGATTCTGTTTTTGTGTTGCTTAGCTCAACTCAAAGCTCAAAGTCCAACCTTTTCCTGTGGCTCGCAAACAAACAGTCACAGCTCTAAATGTTTAAACCTTTATTTATTTATTTATTGTTAAACCATCTCTCCATCTCAGTTGGTTTC